TTAGCTATGGGGCTGCGCGCGCAAGGAGCTCCGCTATGACCCTGCAGTAGAATGTTATCTTCTCTAGGGGGTACCCTATGTGGCAGGCATTTGTAAGGGAAAAAAGAAGAGGAATAAACTGAAGGTGCGGAGAACGCTCTTTACGTACTCGCAGACCGTAACTCGCCCTTTCTTTTTCTCTTTAAATACCTGCCATGTAGGCTATTCCAGGTCAGAGTAGCATTACCCCTAAGTGCTGAGTTAAGCTCTGCCTGGTTGGGCTTGTGGGCCAGTAACAATGCACCTTTATCTTTTTCTTCTTTCCATTAAGAATTATAATACTATTTTGTTGCAGGCATTTTTACGGCTGCATTTGACAGTGAGATTGAGTGGCTGCTGGTTAAAGGAATTGCTGATTTTGCAGATGGTGCTCACATGACTACAGAGAGTTGGTGTTCCTGTGCCAGTGTGATGGCGGCTTCTCTGGTAAAGCATATCCTGGGCAATCCTGCTGTTTTTCGTTCTTGGCCTCATTTTGATGGTAATGTTAGTGTCATAATTATGGTTTTCGAAATCCTTACTCTATTCTACTTAGTTCTGCAACACGCTTTTGTTAACAGATGTAATTACTTCATTGATAAAATAACTCCCGGTTCATGATTCAGCAATTTGACTCTAATTAAAATTTATGTCTTATTTCGCCAGGATACTTTGAACAGTAAACGTGAAGCATGTCAATAATTAGTGTAGTTTTATTGCAATGTACTTGTAATAGTACTTGGTAGAAGCCTCCTTTCTCATCAAATGATTTATGTTTCTTTGAACAGTTCGAGCTTCCAAACCATTCGACCTAAAGCGGTGTCAAGATCAGCTGCAGACATTCTACAACTCATGATAAACATGGTACAAATCACTCCATGGAACCCAGATGACAGGGTGCACATTGATGAGGTGTACACGAATCTCTCATGGCTGAGAGATCAAAAGACTCCCCGTGGTACGAGTCAGAAGAAACTCAAGGACTACGGCGAGATTTTCCAGGGCACCGATCGCTTTCCAAACCCCAAACGAATCCTTATTTATGGAAGACCTGGGATAGGGAAGACCACTTTCTCTCAAAAAATTGCTTTCGACTGGGCAAATGGCCGAAAAGAAATCTTGAAAAAGTTCGATGTTTTGTTGATGATTAGGTTGCGAGATGTTTGTGGCTCAGAAGACTTTAGAGCTGTTTTAAAGGCTTCCAAACTATTGGCCGCCGATGACTCGATCACCGTTGAGGACCTGCATAATTATATCCTTCAGAACCAAGATAAAGTGTTACTAGTCCTAGATGGCTATGATGAGTACCATGCTGGAGCCTCGTCTCCCATCGACCGTATAAGGGAAAGAGATCTTCTTAGAGATTGCTGTGCTATTAAAATTAAATTCCCAAGTCTTCATTAAATTTTATTCTGGCTACAGCAGGCTTCTTACAAACACTGTTAAAAATCTCAGTCAGAAGAGCCCCTGGACTTTCCAAAATCCTAGGGAGAACACTGGGATTCTTTTGCATTCAATCGTGACGTGCTTAATATGCATGTCTGGCACTGGCAGAATGGCCTCTTTGTCAAAACCATCACTCGACATCTCTAGGGTAGGCTGTTGAATGAATAAAATGTACATTTACATAAGTACTATTTTATGTCCCTAGCTTTTCATGTGAAGAATGGTTTTGACAAAATAATTAATGATTTAGTCACTACTTATGAAGGTTACTATGTACAGCCAGTGGTGTATATGTTGTGGTTTAAAATTTTCAAACTAGTTTAATTTTTGTTTTTCTTTTTCTTTGATTATGGTAATTGATTTTAGACAAAGGAAAGTAAAAATTATACTGGTTTGAAAAATTTTAAACCAAGGAAAACCACAACATATATATTGTTAACGTAATATGCTGCAAAATTTCATGTATTTTCTCCTTTCCCGCTGGTGGGGGAGGGGACGCCAAGCAGTCTTACACCCTGAACATCTGCAGGTCCAGGTGTAAACCTTGGTGTTGCATTGTTTTTCAATTAGACAAGAAACTTTTATGTTCCATTCTGTTTCTCTTCACCCAGGTGTGTAAATAGATACCGGCGACGTGCTGTTGTACAATGTATAATACATAGATTTAGCCAGGGCTAGAAGCGAAGCTCTCTTTAATATTTGTAATTTCCTCAAAGAAAATGTAAAATCGAGTAATACTAAAGGCAAGGTGAAAACAACGAGAACGACGATTGCAACTTTGCACGTGCAGCACACTTTTTTGAACATTTCCTTGCCGTCGTTTTACACGACTAGAACGTGAAAACTTCTTTTAACTTCCTATTTACATGTTTTATGGAGGAAATGTATCATATTTTGTAGTCCGGTTCACTCTGTTATTTTCACTGCCACTCATTTTCACTTTGGTAGCCGCTGTATTTCTCATTTTCTAACCGCCTCTATATAATTTTCATGTTTTTCTTCTAACGAAATTGGCCTCGGTTGTTATTTATTTCTAGCTCTAGCTCTTTCCCTGTTAATGTAGACGTTGAAATTTAGTAGAATAATGTTTTTGTTGTTGTTGTTGTTGTTTTTTCCTCTCTAAAAGTCCGGGCGGCCAGATTTACCGCCGAAACGAGCGAGGTGCTTGAAATGCAAAATTTCACCTCAGCTATAACATATTCTTCCCCCCACGGGCTGACGTCTGACTTGCTTCCCCCTCCCTCAGCGTCTGTACAGACGGGATGTCGTACGCTGACGTTATAAGCAAATTTTCTCGGATGGATACAGAGGAGGATCGAATAGTATCCCATGATGCATTTTTCCGGAAGCATCACGCAACATCGCAGTCATAGCAGATTCCATCTTGAAATAAGGTCGTTTTCTCGTCGGCTTTTTTCTCACTCGATTTCCAGTAAAAGTAAAAAAAGTACATTATTTCGTTATTTGACATGATTTCTCCGATTTGCAATGGCTTAAGAGCGAAGTTTCCACTTAGAAACATTTATTTTCACGGTTTCAATTAGTCTTCCCATCACAAAGTGTTCAGTGACCCACAACCAGGTCATGAATATTCAAGATTTTTTGGAATATATGTTGAAATCTTACAAATGTGGACCTCAC